TTGAGGCGTAACACTTCAGGAGATTATAACACTACGCCAAATTGTAGAAAGCAGCACAAAAGTGCAAAGCCTTCCCACATTTCAATGTAATAATAACTCTACAATCAATAGATAGCCGTTTTGTATAAATGTAACCCAAAAAAACAACAACAAAAAACCACAGAGGCAACAAAAAATTGCCCTGACCATGTTTAAGAGACATTTGTACAAGGATTTATAAATTAAAAAAAAATATTATGCAGTAGCCTGTCTAACAGACTTATGTTGACGAGGGGCTTACAAATAAAAAAACTAGACCAAATTGAGCAAAACAATAGGGGAATATTTAACATTTCCATCAAGTTACTGATATAATGTTAGTGCTCCTACAAGTTCCCTGACCAAGTTTAAGAGTCATATGTACAAAGATTTATAAATGAAAACAACATTTTATGCAGTAGCCTGTCTAACAGACTCATATTGAAAAGGGGCTTACAAATAAAAAACTAGACCAAATTGAACTTAACGATAGGGGAAAATTTAACATTTCCATCAAGTTACTGACATTAATATTAGTGCTCCTATAAGTTCCGTTTACTTTCCAACCTTAAAGAATACCTCGTCTTACTTTTCATGGTTACTTTTCTCTTCATACGATCAATGAGTGACCCGTATGTCTCACATATTTGAGAAAACAGATAGCTACAGTCAGCAGGATGCCTGCGCGTTACATGAAGAAGCAAATTCAGAAATACTGAACTGCGCCTGCGGCTTGATGGTATCTTACATGCTGGACATTGAATGATTGGTAACTGCAGAATTTTAGGAAAGGGAGTGGGGCGTGCCTGCTGATCACTGTAAAGATCTGCAAAACCTTTTGCAATTTTCAACAACTTACTAGGGTGTATGTGGCTCTTTCTTTTTCTTCTTGGGATTTCTCTTGCAAGGGGCAATACTTGAAGTGCATCATTTTGATTATCTGAAATGGATCCTTCCTCATCATGTTGTTCTTCAATCTTCAGATCAATCATTTTTGTTTCTTCAACCTGGAGACAACAAGAACAGAAAACGTTCACCTACTAATTTCCTTATCTATAATTTAACAAAATTAAGACATAAGAGCACAGCAAAATCACCAAATTAATACATGCCGTCATAGTTGAGGACAACTCTATTTCACACACTTCAGTTTTGAGTAAAAAGGAAGTCTCTGAATTTAGGCCAATCTCGGCACTGGGCACACCATTGATAAATTCAATTGGTTCTTCTTTCACAACACCGTCGAACTGTAATTGATGGCCTTCCATGGTAGGTAGAATGAAAACTGAAAGTAAAAACGCATTACATACAATGATACATAAAAATAACGATACTGAAAACATAATCTAGAGTGATCTAGGTTATGAAGGACGTAAACAGTGCACTAGTTTTACGTAAGAAGATGAGTAGGAGATAAGATGAGTTATATCTTCTGATGTCTAGTCATAATCTAACGCTTTTACATTTCAAGTCAATCCGCATTCACTTCAGTTGAGTACTTAAAACCACATTATTATTTAAAAGATCCTATTCGAAAATGATGACACCAAATTATGTTACCTTCCCTCCCTCTGCCTTGCTTGCTTACTGCTGTTTGCTTTGCTGCTCAGCCTCAGCGGAGCGGCCAGCGCCGCAGCCGCAACGCAGAGGTTGCCTGCCCTGCCAACCCGTGGTAGACTCCTCTGGTTCCTGTGGTTCCGGTGTCGCAGTGGAATAGTACCCCGTACCCCCCCGGTACAAATCACCTAAGGTATTAGTACCCCCCGGTATAAACCCCCTAGGACATT